AAGGGTCTGTGGTGACTACCACCCACACGAAGGGTCTGTGGTTACTACCACCCACACGAGGGTCTGTGATGATTTACCAACCACACGAAGGGTCTGTGGTGACTACAACCACACGAAGGGTCTGTGGTGACTACCAACCACACGAAGGGTCTGTGGTGACTACCAACCACACGAAGGGTCTGTGGTGACTACCAACCACACGAAGGGTCTGTGGACTACCACCCCACACGAAGGGTCCGTGATTACTACCACCCACACGAAGGGTCTGTGGTGACTACCACCCACACGAAGGGTCTGTGGTGACTACCAACCACACGAAGGGTCTGTGGTGACTACCAACCACACGAAGGGTCTGTGGTAACTAACCACCCACACGAAGGGTCTGTGGTTACTACCAACCCACACGAAGGGTCTGTGATGACTACCAACCACACGAGGGTCTGTGGTGACTACCAACCACACGAAGGGTCTGTGGTGACTACCAACCACACGAAGGGTCTGTGGTGACTACCAACCACACGAAGGGTCTGTGGTGACTACCAACCACACGAAGGGTCTGTGGTGACTACCACCCACACGAAGGGTCTGTGGTGACTACCACCCACACGAAGGGTCTGTGGTGACTACCACCCACACGAAGGGTCTGTGGTGACTACCACCCACACGAAGGGTCTGTGGTTACTACCACCCACACGAAGGGTCTGTGATGACTACCAACCACACGAAGGGTCTGTGGTGACTACCAACCACACGAAGGGTCTGTGGTGACTACCAACCACACGAAGGGTCTGTGGTGACTACCAACCACACGAAGGGTCTGTGGTGACTACCACCCACACGAAGGGTCCGTGATTACTACCACCCACACGAAGGGTCTGTGGTGACTACCAACCACACGAAGGGTCTGTGGTGACTACCACCCACACGAAGGGTCTGTGGTGACTACCAACCACACGCAGGGTCTGTGCTGACTACCAATCATACGAAGGGTCTGTGGTGACTACCACCCACACGAAGGGTCTGTGGTGACTACCAACCACACGAAGGGTCTGTGGTGACTACCACCCACACGAAGGGTCTGTGGTTACTACCACCCACACGAAGGGTCTGTGATGACTACCAACCACACGAAGGGTCTGTGGTGACTACCAACCACACGAAGGGTCTGTGGTGACTACCCAACCACACGAAGGGGTCTGTGGTGACTACCAACCACACAAGGGTCTGTGGTGACTACCACCCACACGAAGGGTCCGTGATTACTACCACCCACACGAAGGGTCTGTGGTGACTACCAACCACACGAAGGGTCTGTGGTGACTACCACCCACACGAAGGGTCTGTGGTGACTACCAACCACACCGCAGGTCTGTGCTGACTACCAATCATACGAAGGTCTGTGGTGACTACCACCCACACGAAGGGTCTGTGGTGACTACCAACCACACGAAGGGTCTGTGGTGACTACCAACCACACGAAGGGTCTGTGGTGACTACCACCCACACGAAGGGTCTGTGGTGACTACCAACCACACGAAGGGTCTGTGGTGACTACCAACCACACGAAGGGTCCGTGATTACTACCACCCACACGAAGGGTCTGTGGTGACTACCAACCACACGCAGGGTCTGTGCTGACTACCAATCATACGAAGGGTCTGTGGTGACTACCACCCACACGAAGGGTCTGTGGTGACTACCAACCACACGAAGGGTCTGTGGTGACTACCAACCACACGAAGGGTCTGTGGTGACTACCAACCACACGAAGGGTCTGTGGTTACTACCACCCACACGAAGGGTCTGTGGTGACTACCAACCACACGAAGGGTCTTTGGTGACTACCACCCACACGAAGGGTCCGTGATTACTACCACCCACACAAAGGGTCTGTGGTGACTACCAACCACACGAAGGGTCTGTGGTGACTACCACCCACACGAAGGGTCTGTGGTGACTACCAAACACACGAAGGATCTGTGGTGACTACCACCCACACGAAGGGTCTATGGTGACTACCAACCACACGAAGGGTCTGTGGTGACTACCAACCACACGAAGGGTCTGTGGTGACTACCACCCACACGAAGGGTCTGTGGTTACTACCACCCACACGAAGGGTCTGTGGTGACTACCAACCACACAAAGGGTCTGTGGTTACTACCAACCACACAAAGGGTCTGTAGTGACTACCAACCACACAAAGGGTCTGTGGTGACTACCAATCATACGAAGGGTCTGTGGTGACTAGCACCCACACGAAGGGTCTGTGGTGACTACCAACCACATGAAGGGTCTGTGGTGACTACCACCCACACGAAGGGTCTATGGTGACTACCAACCACACGAAGGGTCTGTGGTGACTACCAACCACACGAAGGGTCTGTGGTGACTACCACCCACACGAGGGGTCTGTGGTTACTACCACCCACACGAAGGGTCTGTGGTGACTACCAACCACACAAAGGGTCTGTGGTGACTTCCAACCACACGAAGGGTCTGTGGTGACTACCGCCAAGACTGGGTATGGAGTACATGCACCCACAGCAAGAGATATAAACCTCTTGGTGAATCTACACTGATACACCAGCCTCAGTTTACATAGTTAATACTTTATTATGCACCCAATACCCATCCTTTGGGTTAATATGCACTGAGAGATACACAAATCTCGATGTATATACAGTGAGATATACATCTCTCGGAACTAGAACTAGACGGGACTCACAGATAAGGTCCCACTAAGGGCGAAGGGAAAGTGGGTATAGGCAGGGCCGGATTACCGCATAGGCAAACTAGGCATTTGCCTAGGGCCCCGCGCATTTGGGGGCCCTGCGGTCCAAGGGGTTCAGGGGCTCATCCAAGACTGCGCACATGGTGCAAGTGCAAAGGGGTCCCTACCTAAAAAGTTCAAGTGTTTGGAGAGTAAAATTGATTTTTAAAAATTAATCAAAACAAAAATAAATAATGAATTATTATTATTATTATTATAATCAAGGGGGAAGCGCTAAACCCGGAGGATTATACAGCGCCTGGGGGGGGGGATGTGGAAGGCATTCAGGCTTAATTCGGGGAACTTGAGCACAGATCCAATTCCCTAAATCAAGAGCCCCTCACCAACATCAAGGAACCTTTCTTGAGGGGAATAAATAATTAAATAAAATAAAATAAAAATAAATAAACCTAACCATAGATGGCAACACTCAACACGCCTTTGTTTACATCAGAACAGCTATGTTTTCCCGTTAATGGGTGAGTATGGGAGATTCCTCTCCAATTTTCTGTAGTTTATATGATTTGATAGTCTTATGCATGATGCAATGATAACAATAATGGTCAGTGATTTATAAAGGGAATAATAGTGCTGTAGTGGTTATGCTGAATATAATAGGTACATAATGTCACTACTTTAATAGCCTAATCTAGTAATACTATGCTGTCTAAGGAGGGGGGATTGAATTTCAGGGGATGGAACGGGCTTGTCTCCGGGGTTGGGTATGCACAAGGGCTGTGTTGCTGTGTGTATCTGTGTAATGCGTGGTTGAGGTAAATGTGGTTGTGTGAGTGGATGTGGTGGTGCAGTTATATGTGTTATAGATGTCTTATGTCAGAGTCTACTGCCTTCTTTCTTTGTTGAAGTACTTGATTTACCTTTCGGCTATGGCCTGGCAAACGGGGTTTTATGTGTTTGTACTGAGCATTTTATTGCTATATTATATAATGTGTATAGCCTGTAGATGAATGCGGAATGCTTATGGCTTTTCTAGTTTTGTGGCTAACTCGTAAGACTTGTGGTAAGGCGAGTATGTGTGACTGTAGGGAACTTATGTACTGGAGGGTTAGGTGAGTAAGAGTATGTACTTTGTTTTATCATGAGATTGTGATGTAGGTTCTTTCATTTAGTGATTATTTGTGTTGGTTGTGAGTAACCGATATATTTATATATTTATCATAATATTCTTCTTATTGTATTGTATTGTGCATTGGCAATATGTCCCAGTAATATTATGTAAATAGTGTATACCTGAAGGGATTATGGATTTAATTATATTATTGAACCTGCATACAATAAGTGTCAGGGGCCCGAGACTGTTCAACTGCCTCCCAGCACACATAAGGGGGATTACCAACAGACCCCTGGCAGTCTTCAAGCTGGCACTGGACAAGCACCTAAAGTCAGTTCCGGATCAGCCGGGCTGTGGCTCGTATGTTGGTTTGCGTGCAGCCAGCAGCAACAGCCTGGTTGATCAGGCTCTGATCCACCAGGAGGCCTGGTCTCAGACCGGGCCGCGGGGGCGTTGACCCCCGGAACTCTCTCCAGGTAAACTCCAGGTAAACAGGGGTCACCTACATGTTATGTTCTTGTTGTTGTTCTTGTGTACATAGGGTTAAGATTACCCATCTTTCTTAATGTTATGTTTTGTCACAAGCGATATTTTCTAGTATATTTGTGTAACCTCTTGTGTTTGTTTATATTGTGTTTGTTATTTGCTATTGTACGTTCTGAGGGATTGTGTTTCAAAATGTGTTTATATTAAATGTGTATCAACCCTTGTTTAAGGGGTTTTTATGTTAAGCTATGTATTGTATTTTAAATAAAAAAAAATACTATGCTGTCTTGAGTTTATTCTCTTTAAAATGCATGATAGTTAAAATGGCTGTTGGTAAATGGTTTTGGTTGTCTTGATGTACTTTCCCAAATAAATTTAATCTAAATAGCCAGAATGTATTTAATTAGACCTTAAACAGGCTCACACCGACCCCCCCCCCACCCCCAAGCTGGAAGGGGTCGCTTCGCTTACCCGTAACTCAAAGGGGCCCCGCCAATCTGAATAGCCTAGGGCCCGGAGACTTCTTAATCCGGTCTTGGGTATAGGTGAAGAATAGGTGGGTGAGATGAAAGAATGAAGAAAAAGAACAAGAGCCAAGACTAAACCCAACCTCATCACTTCTCTCGGTGCATATAAGCGAGCTATAAGTAGTAAGCGAGAGGCTGGAGGCGGCTAGTACTGGTTCAACCGTCGATCAGTGATCGTCATTCTGTCTCACTCTCGGTAATTACTCGATTTTGATAGTTTGTAAAAGTTATCCCTTTTAAGGAGGTGAGGTCGTGTCAGTGATCGTCTTTTCATCCATGGAATTGAAGCAACCCTTCCCTTCACTTCCTTGGATTAAAATTGATTGGGTTCCATTTCCAAGTGGCTGTATGACAGCATACAGGTTCATACATTAGTACACTGGCCGTCTCCCATCAAGACTGGGTGACTAGGAACGAAATATTTCATTATCATTCATTTAACAGCCGTCTTGCCAGACGTGCACAGACGTCAAAATTCAAGTACCTCAGGAGAGCAACATTCGGATTTTTTTTTAGTAAGTAAGTAAGTTTATTCAGGTATACACAAATACAGTTACATAGAATTATCATACATAGCAGCATATGTGTAGAGAACCTAGGATAACCCAAAAAAGTCGGACAGAGTGACTTATTTCCATTGGGGTCCTTTAACCCGTACTGTCCTTCAGTCTTGTTCCCAGGATGCGACCCACACCCAGGTACCTACTTACCGCTAGCCGAACAGGTATAGCAGGTGTAAGGAAACATGCCCAACGTTTCTACCCATGCCAGAACTGAACCACGGACACGCAGTGCACAGGCGAGAGCGTTGCCAACCGAGCCATGGAACACACCTTGCTCACTCCAACACATTCAAGTCATAAAACCCACTTGTCTTCACGTTCACACAAGTTTGCTGGAAGGTTGGTTAGGTAAGGTTCGTCAGGAAACAGGACAAGTATTTCCTGACACGGGTCTTAGTCATATAATGACCCACAGCTGGAGCTTTTGGTCATCTGACCGAGACCTTCCACTGGTTTACTGGTCAACTTCTTTAAAATTTAGTTTATTTCATAATTGGAAGATTGGTTTATTAGGTTTAATGTTTATCTACCAGGTTCTGCACACCATCAGTTTTATACTGTAAATATTAACCTAAGGATTAAACTCTAAAGTGAATATTTACTGAAAAGTACACCATTACAAGTGCTTATATACCGTATATGAACCGAGGTAAATATTTAAAAAATGTGCAAACGTTAGAATTACTTGTCGGGTACTTTTGCCTAACAAACTTATGACATTTTCTGATCCTCCATCTTAAGTCCTCGCCCGAATTCGAACCCGGGTTCTTTTGATTGTAAGTCGAACGTCCTGTCACTGAGCTAAGAGTTACCTCTAATACACTGGAGAATAAAGACCAACTTAACCTATTTTTCAAGTGGCATGGGGGACTTACTACGATCAATATTCTTGATTTCACTCCCAGGGTGAAATAATTTTTATATATTGATCATAAAGTGCAAGAATTACATTCACATCCAAGATTTCTTTTTAGTGGGTATTTTAAAACTAAGCATTTATATCAGTAAGTAAGGTTATTTAGGCACAGGTACACAACATACAATTACCATACATCGTGTAAATTACCAGGTTATCCCCCCAAAAAGTCATATACAGTGACTTATTCCACTGGAAGAGCTACAGGTTAACATTAATGACGGCTTATCAAAAGAGGCATTAAAACTTAAGTGTTCAGTGCCATAATTGTGCAAGTAAATATACTTAAGTGCAGGTACATATAAATACTGTTACACAAATTATCATACATAGTAACATGTGTGTAAATTACCTAGGATAACCCAAAGAAGTCACAGTGACTTATTTCCATTAGGATAAACTTACTAATTAATTAATGAACAAGTATTGTCTATAGGTTACATCTTTTTTTTTTTAATACCTTGGCAGAACAAGAAAATCATAATCCGTGGTCAATTCACTGGGACAAAGTTTTGAAGATTTTATCCACATCTTGAATAGTTTCTAAGGAAAATGAGTTGGGTTACCCATTCAAAATTTTGCCACCTCCAGGCGGCAAAATCCAAGAGAGTCGCCGGTGGTAATGAAACTTGACATCTCGGCTGTGGAAAATACTGTATATATTTTCCGGAAATACGGTAATTTATAGGTAAATAGATGGCCTATACTGTATTTAATAATATTTGTCATAGAAAACGGAAAGCCTGCGTCTGGGCAGGAGACTCGCCATCTTGGTTTTGAATTTTGTACAAACGTTGGTGTAATGGGAAGAATTTTTCGTGCTCTAGAGGTTAAAATTGTGTTGACACCTCTCAAATAGGAGGCGAAATTGGTGGATGTGCACTCCTGCATAACTTGAGATATCAAACGACTGGACAAGACAGCTCCAGGAACCTCAGATAAGCTCTCTAGATTTGTGTGTAATTCTGGCCAGCATTATTTCATAGATTTAGTTAGAGTGAGTTTTTCTGAGTATGATACACATTAATCTCCAGTCAAATTGGTGAGTGATATTAAGATATATTTTCCTTCTGTTATGTAATTGTGTATATATATAACCATTTATTATTTTTAATATACAGTCCACAAATTTATATATTTACCATTTAATTAATAGGTCCAGTACAGTATGGCCATCTATTTACATATAAATACTGAATTTCTGGAAAATATATACACTATTTTCCACACTGCGGCTGGCCGGAGTTCGTTGCTAAACGACTCAAATTGCTGATTTGGTAACGGTGGAGGACCTGGGTACATATAGGATCTGGCATTCACACGGCGACATATTACACAAGATTTAATCACCCTTTTTACACTTTGCCGTCCTTGTGGAATCCAGAAAGTTTCCCTAATACAATTTTAGGTATCTTGTACCCCACCATGCATTACATTTTTATGGGCATTTAGAACAATTACATTTGTTAGATGATGAGTTTTGGGCAGTAAGATAGGGTGTTTAGCATAATCATCCAATTTAGCATTTTGTAACCTACCTCTGCACCTAATTACATTGTTCTCTAAATACAGCCCCAATTTCTCTATAGAACCTTTCACAATTTTTCTTTCCATCATCAATTTAATCTCATTTCCATAGATTTCCTCCTGTACCTTCTTTATCCAATATTCAAGAGGATGTGAAAACTTATATGATATATTCATCTTGTTTAGAAATTTAAACACCAACTTAGTAACACTGATTAGTTTGGGTAAAGAAGAATACCTATTTATATCAATGGCTAAGGGAGGACAAACTGTTGGAGCGGTGGTCACAGTAATTTCAACAGGAGCAATACATGCCTTTTGTACAGGCCAATTAGCTTTATTTACCAACCAGCTCGGTCCTTTAAACCATGATACAGCATTTACAAATTTAGCATAAGATAAACCTCGAGACAAGAAATCAGCTGGATTCTCCTCACCAGGTATATGATTAAATGTTAACATATGCTGACCCAAACTATTATACATCTCTTGCATCTGATTAATTTCAGTGACTCTGTTTTGTACGTACACAATTTTACTGTTTCCATTACGAATCCATTGTAAGGATACCTCATTATCAGACCAAATTACAGTGTCGCTAATATTTATCTCCTGCAACTTATTTCTTATATAATTAGCTAATTTGACACCTACATTAATGGCTGTTAATTCCAACTGAGGCAAGGTACGTGATTTAATTGGAGACACTTAAGCCTTAGACATAAGAGAAATAACACTATTACATTGAAGGTAAGCAACTGCTCCATATGCCAATTTTGAAGCATCACAAAAAATGTGGAGTACATTTTTCCCATTTGGATTGGCCACCTGGCGTGGGAACTCCAACATTGGAATTTTCTCATAATCACCAATTAACTCATCCCACCTGTTAATGAATTCCTCAGGTAGAATTTCATCCCAAGCACATTTAAGTTTCCATGCTTCCTGAATTAATAATTTCCCTCTTATAGTAAGGGGTGACACTAAACCTAGTGGATCAAAACATTTGGAAACTTCAGCAAGCAAACAACTCTCTAGTTAAATTTAATTGGGCATACTGTAATTATTAGGTTTTAACATTAACAAAGTCTCTCTCAATATCCCAAGTTAAAACCCCAATACATTACTACATTTTGGCACTTCATCTCCAGGGTAATCTTTACCTTATTTTGTCCTTTAATTTGGACGAAATTATTATTCCATTCCCTCAAGAGGCATATTGCCTTTGCATTATTTTAATTAGCCTCTCAAAAGTCATTAACATGTTCCTCTTCAGTTGACGTCACACTCAGAAATTGTCCACATAAAATTGTTTGCTCATTACTTTACTCAATGGACTTTCCATACGTTTAAGGTGTGCATTTATCGTCCGCTTGAAGTAGGAACGGACTGGATTAGCACACAATAATACGCTCCTAAAGCGAAAGGTTTTCAAGGGCTAAGTGGGTCAATAGATCTCAGGCATAAGAAGCGGTACAATCCCAGTCAGAATCTTGTAAACCCACTCTTAGGAAAGCTTTACTATGTCAGCCGTAAAGGCATAATGCTTCACTCTGAAATTTAATAAGATATCTCCTAAATTTTTCCGTCTCAGATGACCTGTCATCAAACAGTCATTTAAACTAGTACATTTTGTTACCCTGGCACAAATTAAAACAATCCTCAAAGGAGTGGTCTTAGAATCCTTCTCACTCCGTGATGGGGCAAATAGTGACCATAAACTTTGCTTGTTCAGGGGTATCTTCTATAAATTTATTAATCTGACTGTTCAGTCAATTATATCATTATATGCAGTTAACAATTCTGGTGTCTACTCAGTTCGCGGAGCTGAGCCTTAACTGTCCATATGCCATTCTGTAATTAGTGGGCAATTCTGGATGGTTCAGTCTCCACGGAAGTCGCACCCAGTATTGTCCAGATTCAAATTTTACATCTCTCAGTATTGCTCCTGAGTAAAAGATCGTCTGGACTTTCTTCATTTACATTATTCCAATGCTGTCTAATTCCACAATTTATACACTGGCTCAACACCATCCTCTATGGAAGAATTATACTGGGGTACGATTTCATGAGTAAGGCACACAGTTATGGTATTTGTAGTTTCCTCTAGTCATGAATTATTATTACGAGGAATCCTACCATACATTACATGGCCTCCTGCAGTCTTCAAAAGGGTGACACCACATTTCT